GCAACCTTCTCTGCCAGCTTCCGACAAGCAAAGTCAATGGGGAAACCAGCAGGAGGTCACAAATGGCATCATGCTTAACCGCGGTGCAGGATTCACTTAACAACAGCAACCAAAGTGCTGGAACTGCCATAGCCAAGTGGCTCAGTCACATGACATCATGCTTTATGACCACATGGCTTAGCAACAGAAATTCCACTACCAATTACCATTGTGAAGTGAGGACTACCTGTAGTAATGTCTGGTGTTCCTTGGCCTTTTCTAAAGCCAACTTGAATATCTGGCATCTCCCTTTTCATGTCTAATCTGCGTTGGATGATCCTAAGCATTATTTTGCTAGCATGCAAAATTAAGGATATTGTGCAATTGTACATTTTGTTAAATCTCCTTTCTTTAGTATTGGAACATAGACTAATCCCTTCCAATCAATTGGTCACTGTCATTCTCCAGTTTTGCTGATAAAGTATGGTTAGAAACTTCACTGATTTTTCTTCTGTTGCTTGCCATAGATATTCTATCAATTCCTATAGCTTTCCAACTGGTAATGATCAGAATGCTGATCTAATTTCATCTTCTAGCACTAGTGGTTCTTTTAAATCAGGAATACCTTCTAAAGAATCTTGGACGGTGACATCCCTACTGTAAAATATATTCAGTATACTCTTTTCATCATTGTTTGATCTTCTTTAAATCAGTTACTGCCTGTCCACTGGCATCCCTTAGCATACCAGTTTGAGGTTGGAACCTCCATTTGAATTCAGAGATCTTTTGGAAAACTTTTCTTGTTTTTCTGTTATCTGCTTCTTTCTTTGATGTCTTTACAAATATCATTGTGCTACTGCTTGTCTCTTCTAACATCTCTCTGAAATCCTTTATTAAGTTCCTTCCTGAGATCTTTTTCTTCGCTGTTTCTATCCAGTTTGCTTTCTTCTGTTTCTTGGTCTCTGACAGTCTCTTTTCACATTCATTCTTAACAACTGCTTTGATTTCATTTCACAATTCCTCTGGTTTCCTATCAATGGGGTTCAGGATTTCAAAGAGATTCCTGATGTTCTCTCTGAGAACTGTGAGTATATACTCAAGATCACATCATGGAAACTGGTTGGTTTTGTTCTTCTACTTTAGCTTGATTCAGAACTTGCATAGTCAGCTCCTAGCCGCATCTCTGCTTTTATAACTGAGCTCTTCCACCTCTTTATACCAATAATATAGTCAATTTTATTACCGTATATTCCATTCGATTATGTCTATGTATATCAGTGTCATTTTGGTATAGTAATTGTGTTAGCACTGAAGAAATCATTGGGTTAGCAAAAACTGGTAAATCATTCTCCTTAATTTCTGTTTCCTATGCCATACAGTCCAACTACATTTTCCTCCTTACTATTTCCAACTTTGGCATTCCAGTCTCCAACCACAAGCAGCACATCTTGCTTGCGTATTCTGTCAATTTCAAATTAACTTGACCATAAAACTCATCAACCTACACTTCTGGATAAGTGACTGGAACATAAGCTTGAATAACCATCATATTAAAAGCTAATCCACAAATTCTAATTGATATTATTCAGTCACGGACTGCGTTGTCCCCAAATATCATCTTTGCTATATCCTTCCTGACCATAAAAGCAATGTCATCCCTTTTTGTGTGTGTGTCCTATATAGTAAATAATATGATTTTCTAACTGAAAGTGTCCAATTCTAGTCCATTTCAATTTACTGATGCCTAAGATGTCAAAGTGTAGTTGATTCATTTCCTTTTCCCTGTATTGAGCTTTCCCATGTTCATACTTATGTTCCAGGTTCTCACCATAATTCTGTTACTGGGTGGAAAAATAAACACTTAAGGGACCACTTATAAATAATTGTTGTACAAGACAATTTAGCCCAGCAACCATCAGATTATAAAAGTCCTGAAACAAAAGGCACTACGGGAGCCCCTCTGACTAGAGAATCCCCATGTTCTAGGACTAGATGCTTGACCAGTTCTGGTTATGAAAGTCAGGTGAGTGAATAGAAGAATGAGTGCAAGACTGAAAGTGCAGGTGATAACTGTTCTATTTTAATAAAGTTTGATTACACTTAGAACTGTATGCTTGTATGCTTAGAACTGCTAAAAGATTCTAAGGTGTTCCTTTAACTGACATTAGGGAAAGAAGTTCCACTAGGTGTTTTCCCTTAGTAAGTTCACTGCACCTTTACCACAGCTGTGTTAGATAGCCCTTTCAGGATGCCTGGTCAGAGCAGCTTGCAAACTGTTGATCAAGGCAATTGTGAAGGACCTACATGCATGCTAAAAGGGAAGAGAGAAACAAGAGTAATTGCCTGTAAGCGGGACTTATAAGATTAGAGCCAGTTAGATTTGGGGAGAAAAACGTATAACAGCTCATCCCTCCCAGGAACAACCCCACCCCCAAGATGAGACAACATAGTAAGACTTGGGGGGGGGGAATAGTTTCTTTATTCTTGAATAAAAAATACACCATTACACTTTAGAAATACATAGTCCTGGAAGTTCCCAGTTTGTATCAAAGCTCAGCCATTAATTTTCCAACCACTTTATTCAAGATATTTTCATATGTGTGTACTTGTACTGTTCAGTAACACTGTACTGACAAAATACAAACTCACACTGTAAATTCATTCCCCAATTATAGTAACATAAATATAAATGAATCACATTCCAAACATGGAATATAATTATTCAATAATGTAAGCATTTGCTGTAAGACTTGGATCCTTGAATGGGTGGAAGATATCTTTGCTCATGCAAATGTCATGTTTGCTTGAATTCTCACCCCTGCAAATTAAAACCTCCTCATGCAACTACTTTAAACATCTTTTAATTTTAAAATGTTAAAAAATTCTAAAGATTCTTTTAGAGAATTTTAGAAGTATCTTTTGACTCTCAGAGGCAGCCTTTTTGGGAGATTCATTAATTTGCAGCAGGAGAGAGCCAGAAAAGCCCTATTAAATTAAGACTACACTCATATGCTTAGATTCCAAATCCTATTTATATTTTTTATAGTTTGTAAAATATATTCTAGCCAGATGCTTTCCTAAGAAATTATGAGATTCCTAAATCATTTAGGTAGGTAGATAAACCTTATTACAATTTTTCACCAGCATATAAATCATTTTCATTGATTTTTTTAAACATTCTGCTTTAATATTTCTGAACTTCAGCAGTATGTTTACATAACAGCAGCAACATTTGTAAGACTAACAGTGCAATCCTATAATTGTCTACTCTAAAATAGATTCCAAATGCATTCAGTGGGACATACATCTAGATAAAATCTTTTTTAAAAAATCAAAATCATACCTTATAGAAGATAGATTCTGCTGTAATTATGGTGGCTACAGATTCTGGTGCTTTGATGGGCTAAAAAAACAAGAAAAAAGTTTATGACTGAACTGTATAAAACTATGACAAAAATGCATTTAAAGTTGCATGCTAGCTAGTATTATCAGGAAGTATTTCAAAATACAATCCTATAATTAAATTAAATTGCCTGAAATACATTTCATACATTATAGCTTACTAGTATATAGCACAGCAAATAGATGCATCTGTCAATGAATGAACATACAACAATGGAATAGCCAATTACTGGCATTTGGAAATTCAGTAACTTAGATGCAGGAACTTATATTACTGTTAACATGTTGAGATACGAAATTATACATACTCTTAACGTATTGGCAGCATGTAAATATACTGCACACAATATGGAGCTGCTAGAACAAAGCTTCAAACTGACATTAAACAAATGTTAGCTCCCAGTGATATAGACAATAGACAGACAGTTTCTATGCTGGTCTGTTTGAACAAAAGAATAGGTAAAACAAAAACAGCAGCTGAATTAATAGAAAATTATAAAATAGGTCAAAATAAAATTGGGAACACAAAAATAGATTAAAAATATAAATATATATATATATATAATATACAAGATGATTCTGATGTAATTAATTTCATCTTTCCATTCTATTACACTTCTCACATTTGAATTAGTAGACCAAATCTGTTATATATAGTACATAGTATAACAAGTATAATTAGCTAGCTGGCACATAGAAGACTGGCCCAAATTCTACATTTCATTCCACAAAGAGAAGGATGTGATCCTCAAAGGTTCCTTTCATGAAAATTACTATATTTGGTTGTAAAGTAAAAGCTTAAGAACAAAGCTTCCTTAAGTATTTGCAAAAACTATTAATTCCATTTGTTTTTTCAAATCTCACCTCAACACCCTTTCCTATATTGTTCCCTAATTTATCCAGTTCATCACCTCATTTTCCACATTTATCAATTCCAAAGGTACCATTTCCATGAAATACCGAGAAAATACACTTGTCTATAAATGAGTTCACTCACTGAACTAAGCCATAGATTGGGATCTGTATTTCCAGGCATGTAAATCCAGTCACTGTGATTTGTAAACAATTGTTCAAAGCTTAGCATTACATGAAAACTAATAATAGCTTGGTGCAATATGTATACCAATAAATGAGCATCCATCACACCTGAATATCTACATATCCTAGTATATTAAACTTGTACATATGTAAAAAAATTGATTTTTGAGCATTTGCTATTTTTTTTGCAGAGAACTGTAACCATGTAGAAAAAGTAGTATGTCAAGCAATCTTTAAACTGTAAGTCCATTGCTGGCTTTAGTAATGCTGACCAGTAACAAGAGTCCACAATCGCCTTACATTTTTTAATTTAAATATATGCCTTCTCCCTTTCCCTTTAGTGGAAACCTTTTTCTCAGCAGCAGGAGCAGACTTATATTTTGTGTTCCTTAATCGAGCAGATCTTCTGTGAATTTCTTGCTTGCTCTATGGTATACAAAGCATAAGAAATATTGAGAACTTGTTAGTCTATATTCCATTTACATTATTATTATTTTTTAAAAATGAAGTAAAATATAACAGGTCAAAAAAGAGTACAAATTAAGTTCCTATTCTAGACCTATTTACTTAAAAGCACATCTCACTGATTTCAATGAAAAATCTTTTTCAGATGTACCTCATCTTAAAAAAAAAACTTTCTAGAATGATTCACAAGAAAACAAGATACAGTACCAGCAGTTTCACCAACTCTCAGAAATCATTTCCAATCACTTCCATGCATTCTGTTGAGAAATATCCCAATACCATGTATTTCACCCCAAATATTGATTTATTTATTAAACATATGACTATCTCACTGCCTTCAAAAGACTCTCCATGCCTACAAAGAGTAAATGTATAATACCTACAGTATAAACTGAAAAACGAATCAACAATTCAGTAGCAACAATAAAACAGCACAAGACAAAAAGGAACAATGTCATAAAATAGAAATCAGGCCAGGGGACGTTTCTCTAAAACAACTCAGTTTTCCAGAGTTTTCGAAAGATCAATAAAGATGGGGGCCGTCCACAGGGAGGCTGTTCCACAAGGTTGGTACTGCCACAAAGAATAGTTTATTTGTGTGCAGCTTAGTATGTTGTATGAACCCAGCCAACTGGGGTTTATTTAGTTAAAAAAAGTTAACCAAACCTTGACTTAGCATACCTGAATCCAATGACTGAGATTTATTCCCAAGTAACAGGTTCACAGTTAAGGCTGCAATCCTGCACCTTTGAACTCAATGGGACTTACTTCTGGGAAGATACGTACAAGCTCTGAGTTTAAGATCTCGGCAGATACGACAAATCTTTCCCAATTTCTTTAATCACATTTTGGACTAACCTGAAGTGCACTTTCCAAAGCTTAATTAATCATTTATCTTTTTAAAATGATTGTATACTTTCAGCATGTATTTATAGCCTTTTCTGTTCGGCCTAAAAATAAACCGCGCGGCAACCAATTGTTTCAGGGTTGCTGCCTGAGCGAGGTGGCTACCAGGAAACCTCACCT